GTACTTCTCAACGCACCTTGGCTCTGCAGGACTGCTGTTCATGGAGCCGGCTCTGAGCTTTATGGACTCAGTTGACTCCACAACCTTCACCCCCTACTTTGTCCCCTGTGTGTACAAGGCCAAAGGCCTTCCCCTGATTCCAGCAGCAAAAGCACTGCCCTCTGTGACTTGCCATCCTAGGCAGTTGCCTAGGGGTTATGTGGCATTTGAACAGACGGCGCATACTGGGCCACAAAAGAGTCAACCACCACCACCCGCTCCCTCCCAAGCACTTATTACCTTGCAGCCTTCGCAGGTGATACATCGGTAGTGGTACCCCGTGGCTTTGTCTCCACATACAACGCACTGTTCATCTTTGTCCAAGTAGCTAGGGATGTACCCTGTGGAGGGGAGGAAAACAGAGCCAAGTGGTCAGAGCTTGATGGTGAATCCTGCAGCACAAGGAGGTGAAAATCTCTTCTATGGCAAGGATCCATCTTGCCCAGCAGGCTGTATCTGTAGTTTACAGGGATGCCAACCTCCAGGCGGCACCTGGTGTTCTCCTGCTATTACAACTGATTTCCAGATGACCGAGATCGGTTCCCCTGGAGAAAATGGCGGCTTTAGAGGATGGTTTCCATGGCACTGTACTCCGCTGAGGCCCCTCCCCTCCCAAACCCCTCCCCGGGCTCCACCCCCCAAATCCCAGGGTATTTCCCAACCGAGAACTGGCAACCCTACAGGAGCCAAAGGAAACGGAGACGTTGGCAGGACGGTGACCATCACTTTTTGTCGCTTGTGTCCAGCACTGCGTGATCAGACATATATACTCTCTTCGAATCTGGAGGTTCCACTTCAATAACCTTTATTTAAACTTTTTTTTAAAAAAACACACTTTGTTCTACTTGTACATTTGGGCTCTCAACGTTACTTATACTCTATTAAACAAAAAATACCATAAAATGGCATATTATTACAGCAGGAAAACACCAAAACTACCACCACGGGCAAATAGCAGTGAACTAAAACTGTCTGAAAAACTCTCAAATTTCATTAACTAGAAGATTTTTTTTTTTCATATAGATTCCAATCACTAAGCAGGAAGGGAACAATCAACAGGCTTCCCAGAGTTAAGAACCTGGACACACTATTGTTCAAACCTCAACACTCACAAGAACATAAGAAAAGCCCTGCTGGATCAGACCAACGGTCCATCTCGTCCAGCCTCCTGTCTCACACAGTGGCCAACCAGTTCCTCTGGGTGGCCAGCAACAGGGCATAGAGGCCGAGGCCTTCCCCTGATGCTGCCTCCTGGCTCTGGGATTCAGAGGACTAGTGCCTCAGCCACCATGGCTAGTAGCCATTGATAGACTTCTCCTCCATGAATCTATCTAATCCCCCTTTAAAGCTGTTTATTTCTGTGGCCATCATCTGGGAGTGAATCCCACATTTTAATCACTCTATGTAAAGAAGCATTTCCTTTTCTGTCCTGAACCTACTGCCCATTAGTTTCAACACTATGCTGGGGATTATTAGGAAGGGAATTGAAAACAAATCAGCCAGTATCATAATGCCCCTGTATAAATCAATGGTACATCCTCATTTGGAGTACTGTGTACAGTTCTGGTCACCACACCTCAAAAAGGATATTATAGCATTGGAAAAAGTGCAGAAAAGGGCAACTAGAATGATAAAAGGGTTGGAACACTTTCCCTATGAGGAAAGGTTAAAGTGCTTGGGGCTCTTTAGCTTGGAGAAACGACGGCTGAGGGGTGACATGATCAAGGTTTATAAGATTATGCATGGGATAGAGCAGGTAGAGAAAGAAGTACTTTTCTCCCTTTCTCACAATACAAGAACTCGTGGGCACTCGATGAAATTGCTGAGCGGTCGGGTTAGAACGGATAAAAGGAAGTACTTCACCCAAAGAGTGATTAACACATGGAATTCACTGCCACAGGAGGTGGCGGCGGCTACAAGCATGGACAGCTTCAAGAGGGAACTGGATAAACATATGGAGCAGAAATCCATCAGTGGCTATTAGCCACAAGGTATAGATAGGAACTCACAGGCTGGGGCAGGTGATGCACTGTATGCTTGGTGCTTGGGCAACAGTGGGAGGGCTTCTAGTCTCCTGGCCCCTCTGCTGGACCTCCTGATGGCACCTGGTATTTTTGGCCACTGTGTGACAGAGTGTTGGACTGGATGGGCCATTGGCCTGATCCAACATTGGCTTCTCTTATGTTCTTATTGGATACCCTCAAGTTCTAGTATTTTGGGAGAGGGAGAAAATTTTCTCTTTGTCCACTCTCTTTACCCCATGCATAATTTTATAAACCTCTATCACGTCCCCCCTTAATAATCTTTTCTAAACTGAAAAGTCCCAGACTCTTCAGCCATTTCTACCAAGAAAGCCATAGATCTTGCTAACCAGTGTTCCCTCTAAGCTGAGTTAGTGTGAGCTAGCTCACTGTTTTTTAGCCTCCAGCTCACACATTTTTGTCTTAGCTCAGGAAGGATGGCTCCAGAGCAAAGAGTACAGTAGCCAAACTGCTTGCTCACAAAGTAGAATTTTTGCTCACAAGACTCCACAGCTTAGAGGGAGCATTACCATGATTTTTTGGAGGGGTGGGGGAAGGTATACAGAGAAAGGCTTCTTCTAAGGATTTTAATGAGTCTTAACTGAAATAGGTCTGTCAACACATTCTAAAACCAGCACGTTAGGATACAGAAGTATGAATTACAAAGAACACCATCCTTTATTTCTCTGCATCACACCTCCTCCAAGAGTGAGCAATTGTTTTGCATCACTGCATTAGGAGAGTTTGAATGATCCCTCTCCCCACATGCACAAACTCCTTCCCCAAGGAGAAGGCAAGGCTTGAGGAGTAACTCATACAGAGATGCTGCAAGCAGACTCTTTTGCGAGTAAATTTAGTTTGGGTTCATATAGCTATATTATTTATTTCTTGGGATATACCAGTATGCTGTGACACACAATCTGGAAATTACTGATCTAAAAACACTAAGAAGCTCCTTCAGAAACAACTTAGTCTGTTGACAGACCTGTTTTTCCACTATTGTGCGATCCTTCCTGGAAAACCGTTTACATCCATGACCACTACAACATCTTGAGGCAATGAGTTTCATGGTTTAATTAGATATTTTACAAGTCCGAAAATGGCTGCAATCCAGTTTTCATTGGACGGCTCCAAGTTCTAACATTCCATCAGAAAGTAAATGTTCTTTCCCACATCCAAGCAACAACTCCACTTCGGGAAGAGGAGACATACTTCCTCTGGTCCCACAGAATATTTCTCAAACTGAAAACTTATTTCACACAAGCCTCTATGAAGACGTAAGGAGTTTCAGATGGGATTCATTGCAGATTCTTGACCGCTTTTTTCATGGCCAATTTAAAACCAGATTATAATTGCAGGGCTGACAGAGCCTACCCGAGCTCTGTGTACAGAGCTTGAGAATTTAATTTCTGAAAGAAAAGAACACACGGGTTTAACTTAAAAAAACCCAAAACATTCCTTGAAGTTCAGGCATATGTTTTTAGAATAATATTATGCCATAGTATTCCTCATGACTATGTATGGGTGTGAAAGTTGGACAATGAAGAAAGCGGACAGGAAGAAAGTGGATCGCTTTGAAATGTGGTGTTGGAGGAGAGTTCTATGGATACTGCAGACTGCCCAAAAGGCAAACCTGTGGGTTCTAGATCAAATCAAGCTGAAACGACTAAATGGAGGCTATCACAGAATCACAGAATGTTAGAGTTGGAAGGGACCTTGCAGGTCATCTAGTCCAACCCCCTGCACTCTGCAGGAGCATAGCCGAAAGACAGCCCTACATACCTACAACATACCCGACAGATGGTCGTCCAGCCTCCGCTTGAAAACATCCAGCGAAGGAGCATCCACCACCTCCCGAGGCAGACTGTTCCACTGCTCAACCACTCTTACAGTTAGGAAGTTTCTCCTGATATTTAGCCGGTATCGACTCCCTTGTAATTTCCACCCATTAGATCTAGTCTTTCAATCCGGAGCAAGAGAGAATAGATCATTCCAACCCTCTCACCATCCTGGTTGCCCTCTTCTGGACACCATCGAGCTTGTCAACATCCTTCCTAAAATGTGGTGCCCAAAACTGGACACAGGACTCCAGGTGGGGCCTGACCATAGCAGAACAGAGCGGAACTACCACCTCCCATGGTCTGGACACGATGCTTCTGTTAATGCATCCAAAGATTGCATTAGCTTTCTTCACAGCCACATCGCACTGCAGGCTCATGTTTAGCTTGTGATCAACCAGAACACCTAGATCCCTTTCACATGTGCTGCTGTCAAGCCAAGCCCCTCCCATTCTATATCTGTGCCTTTGATTTTTTGTCCTTGGTGTAGGACTAAGTGTAGGAATCTCTATCGAAATTCATTTTATTTATCTCAGCCCACTGTTCCTGCCTATCTTGATCATTTTGAATCCTGACTCTGTCAGGATCACATTATGGGAAGACCAGAGTCGCTGGAAAAGGCAACAATGCTAGGAAAAGTTGAAGGCAGCAGGAAAAGAAGAAGACCCGACATGAGATGGATGGACTCAGCCAAGGAAGCTGCGGCTCTCGCTTTGCAAGACCTGAGCAAAGCTGTTAACGTAAAGGTGTTTTGGAGGATGCTCATTCCATAGGGTCACCATAAGTCAGAAGTGACTTGATGGTACATAACACACACACAGAGAGACATATATGTGTTGTGTGTATGTGGTATGTGTGTGAGACTGCGGTTAACTTAGCAGTGTAAGAATGCCAAGCAGCACAGGAAGCAATTTTGCTCCAGGCCAGTTTGGCTGGAGATCCTGGAGAAGTTTTTTTTTTTTGTCATCTTCTGGGCGTGGAACAGCGGTCACTGGGGGTGTGGAGGGAGGGGGTATTGGTGAACTTCCTGCATTGTGCAGGGGGGTTGGACTAGATGACCATGGAGGCCCCTTCCAACTCTATGATTCTGTGATTCTACATGTGCAGTTTGATTACAAAAATTTCAGATCGACTGGGTGTTCTGCTCTCTGCTCATCTGTGGGAGGTCGCTGCAAAAAAATAACAGGAGAATCTAGAAGTGCAGTAAAGACTAACATCATTTTATTCCAGCATACCAGTGCCTACTTTGTCAGATGCAATTAGGGTTGCCAACCTCCAGGTCGCACCTGGAGAGCTCCTGCTATCTATATATCTAATAGCCAACTTGCCCTCTCCGTGCAGATATCTAAATCCGCACGGTTATCTAAATCCGCACATCGGGGGCACTTGGGAAGCAGGGAGATTTTCCTGCACACTTCAGGCAGTCCCCAGGTGTGCAGAAAAATCAATGAGTCAGTGTGAGCTGGAAAACAAAAAAGTTTT